AAACCAAAGGTTATTCATTCGAAGTTCAAAATCTTTAATAACCAAGCCACCAGTCAGAATACCATCATCTCTAAGAATAACCAGTCTTAGGGTTTTAAAGTTAAAGTCTCAAGCTCCAATTTCAAACCCAAGAAATAAGTACAACTCGCTAACTGACGTCTCAAATGAAAACCAAGTCAATTCACACTAACTTCGTACTCTTGAATGCAGTTACTCTATATTTCAAAATTCCCTCAATCTGTACGCCTAAAGATAGGTTCACTCTTCTTAAAGACCAAGAATTTTAAAGCATAAGAGGAGTATTTAAAGTAACCAAAAATCTTATCAAAGTCAAGATTTACAATATAAAACACAAATTCGCCATGCTTCCGAAAACTCAAGATACAAATTCAAGTGTAAGATTACACCAGTATATAATCAAGGGGGAAAACTTAGTTTAGAAAATTTTAACCTTGTATCAACCCATCATATACCAAATTCAACAATTCATCAGTTATTCACAAATTTTCAAATTTGAAATTCAAGCAAAATTCACATTTTTACCAAAATCGAAAAATTACACATACTTAAAGCATATATATATTATTCCCAATCATCGTTTGAAAATAAAAATAGTACATCCTAGTTTTTCTTTAGAACTTCAAAGCAGAAATTCTCTAGGAGGTAAATGGGTGGAAATGCATTTTATTCCTTTGATACTCTTTTATCTTAGTTCAAAATCATCATACATAGAGTTGGACCATCAAATTTCGGTCTCTTATCCTCCATAGTTAGTACTAATAATTACCTCAATTGTTTAACTTTCAAATCAAATCAAATCAAATCCCACAGTCCGGCATCCTAAACTTTACCCTAGGATACACTATAGAGATCGGAAGCCTAAGCTCTGATACCAACTGTGACAGCCCCACCTCCCCCTAGGGCGAATCAAAGGGTTCGACGGACCGCCTGCCCATCTCTCGTCGGGACTCAGTCGTTCACTACAGTTCTCAAATAAATTACAAGATAAATCTCAAATATATATCAAATTCTCCAAGCATTACATATCATAAGCGAAGCGGAAACTAATTCCAGGCGTGGAACGTACACATACATCCACTTCAAATCCAAACAGTCACACATGCCCAACTATTATATAAAATGAATCCAAATCCAAACTGTACAAGATATACGCCATCTAGTTACACAAATAACGTAATACAAACTCTTCCCTTGCTTCGATCCCTGTGGGAAAAAGAAAAATATTTGAGGTGAGCTAGAAGCTCAGCGAGTGAACAGTAAAATCAGTAATCAAATAAACTTTACGATAGTGCAGGTAAATGATGTCATGAATCAGTGATCAAATGTATGGAGTTTGCTCTTGTGAGTCAGTGAAATCCTTGCACTTAAATATCCAACGCTCCCTTAGATCAAGTAACAGATATACAGAAATAAGGAGCCATCGTGCTCCAAAGAATGCGTAAACAGGAGTGGAGATGTTGGTTCTAAGCACAAGATTTTCCCAAGAACTCGTCGGAGCCAAAATGTCAAGGCACACACACAAATACAATGATATGCAATCGTGCAATCAATGCAAGAATCATTTCAAAAGTAACTTTTGGGAAGTAGTTGAGGGATCACTCACCAATCACGGCTCATGAATCTCATCCATCATAGACGGTTTTCTCGATCAAGTCCAAACTCTTCATTCTACCAAGGATTAACCCAAACTTAAAGTGATTAAACGTCCTCAAAGATTGGACAATACTTCCCCTTAAATTTCCTTATTTTCATCCTACAATAATCACCAATATCCATTCAAACAGCACACATAAAAATAATCTCATTTCAATAGTCGTTCAATAGGCTCAAAGTGGTACAAGTACAAATTCAAGTTAGGAAAAGTCCGGAAATGAAGTTTAAGTCAGAAAACAAAAGACAGATTTGACATTATTTTGCGTAACGGACACAACTGTGGCTGTGCTTATCGGATTGGGATGAAATTTATACCGTTTCGAAGCTAAGACAAAGGCCTACAACTTTGATGAAGACCACTCAGTCCAGTTCGTAGTGTAGCTAGGTCGAAATTGCACTATACCAAACCAGAATCCCACAAACAGGTTAGCTAACCGCACTATGGTTAAATGACAATAACTCAGGCTACCAAAGTCCGATTGAGGTGTATCTTATGGTTTTTCGAAGCCAAGACATATACCTACATTTTTTATGAAGGCTTCCAAAGCTAAAAACATGCATTTTCATGGTCAAAAATGGAATTCCTCACGAAAATAGAAATCTGGGCGCGGAACAGGGGTCATGGGCAGTCAAGGGTATTTTGATCATTTCATATGCTGCAGTGCTCTGATTGAGCTGAAATTTTACAGATAGTTAGCTAACTCAATTACCAACAACTTTCATGTTTTGGGAAAAGGCTGATCCAGTCTCTAACATGCCTAAATAAATCTGGATAGAACAGGCCTGTTTGGAACCCTAAAGTTGGAAAATCCCTCAAAATCTGAAAATTTCCACAAGAAACCACAATAACCACATAGAGGCTCCAAATTATCTCATTTAAGACTACCAATCCATAGCCAACCACAAGATACTATATAAAACAGAAAATTCCTCAATAAATAGGAAAAATTTGAACAACTCAACCATAAGTCACAAAATAATCCACAAAATGACATGCTCTACCACTAGAAATCCTTAATTGATCATTATTAACATGAGAGGGAAGATATTTAACACCTCACCTTTGCAACTCCAAGAAACAAGACAACTAGAGCTTGTTCTTCACAAATGGCTCCACTCAACACCTTAAACTAGTTTAGCAACTCACTTTTGTGGAGAAATTTGGAATTTAACCGGTAGGTTTGCAAGATTCAAGCTAGAAATGAAGGAAAATTGAAGAAGCTCTCTCTCTCTTTTCTCTCTTCTTGCTCGGCCAAGAAGGAGGGAAATGGAAGATGATTTGGGTCAAAATAGGAGTTTTAGTAAAGTTAAAGAAAAGTTACGCAAGTCAACTTCCAATCGGATCGCGCCGCTTGGCCCTTCTTAAGTTTATTCTTATCCCTTTGTCTCTCCAAGATTAACCATATAATTATTTCTTAACACCTAGTAAATTAATATCCATCAATACTAAACTCCAACAAATTGTCAAAAATATATCGAATTTACTGCACTAGCGGGTCCCACGTCCATAATACACTTCAAACTTAACGTGGACTAACTTGTAACAAGGAAATGATTTGAAAACTATATTCCCTTATAAAAATGTATAGAAAATTAATATATTGAAGAAAGGCATAAAATTATAGACAAGGAAACAAAATAATGTCTCGAAAATATATAAAAATTTTCGGGTTCTCACACCCATTCTTTCGGGGCGTCACATGACTCATATGTAGCGCTAGGCTTATTGGTTCAAGGTTCAATTTCAAGAAGCAAGCAACATTTTTTTGGGGTACAAGAGTGTTGTCATTTTGTAACTACACTTCATTTACAGCAAGCTTGTACAAGGAACAGCCAATGCGATGGTCCTTAGCTATGGATTGCGAGGCTAGGTGGGATGGAAAATCCATATGATGAAACAGCCGCTGAAGTGCTCCTCGCCTGTTTGTTTGTTGCTTGGGGAGATCGCACGTCCATACACAATTTTTCCAAGTTATCTGTGGATTAATTTCAACAATTCACTTCAACTCCGATTGTCCCAGTCTACCAAATTATCCAGATTGCAGCTTGTATCTACCATTTTGCAATGACGCAAGTATAACATAGTAAATGATCAAATCAGGATTCTACGGATGAAATGATTATAGACATTATTGTAATTGAGACCTTGAACTTTGGATGATTATAGATATCACAATTGAGACCTTAAATTATAGATATCATTCTCACTAACAATTACAGCTATTTTCAGAGAGATCTTAAATTTTAACTCATATGAATGATCATAGTCACTTTCAAGAAATTTTTAACTTTGACTACATAGACGCAGCGAGGTATCTTCTAATAATAGAATATGTTACATGAGCTCGATGAGCTCAAATTCTCACAGCAATCTTTGTTGTTGATTTGTCTAATTAATCATAACTGCTCTCATCAAAATCATAGGTTCACGTATCAACATACCTGCAGCGAGGGTCCTTCTTGCAAATGATCATAATTGCTTAGAGAAAATTTTGACTTTTTTTTTTTTTTTTAACGTAACGGCACATCTAAGCCTAACCTAGTCTTAAATTTTTCTTTTTTTATTTTGGTAAGAACTTTTCTAGAAGATTGTGTGATGTGAGTAGGGCTGTCAATGGTTCGGGTCTGGATCCGGATCCGGTATTATTGCAGGTACGGGTAGGGATTTAATTCGGTTATCCGGACCCATTTTGTCAAACAAAAAAACGGGTTGGATACGGAATATAGTATTTCAACCCGTATTAGACTCGAATTCGGATATAAATGGATTAATAATTTAAAAAATATATATTTATCAATATAATTTGATTAGGGTGCTATATTTGAGTAAAGTTAATTTGATTTCTTTTTTATTTGGTTTTTTTTGTATTAGTTAGAAATTAGTTTACAAATATATTTTTTTCTCATTTTTATTAGAAATTGTAAGTTTGATAATTTTTTCAGGTAAACCCGACCCGGACCCGAGACCCGTCGGATCCGGATCCGGAACATAGAGTAGAAGATCCGTCGAGTAAACCGATCAAATCCGGGTCTAATATGGTATGCCGGGTCCAGATCCGAAATAATGAATTCCTGCCTGGACCCGACTCGTTGACAGACCGACATGTGAGTATAATGTTCATTGCGAAGCTTGGACAACTGAGCAACAGCTCCTGCTATTTTTAATCTGAAGGACTTAATCCAAATTTTCCAGACCATTACTAGGCAAAATCTGAGTTAACTTTAAACTTCAGGGACCCAAATGGTAAGAACACCAAAACCAAGCTTTCAGACATAAACCCTCCAAAACCCTCCCGAAAACCCACTCTTCAAATGCAAAGCAGCAAACAAAAACCCATCGAATAAATGGCAAAAAGCTTCCACTTTGCTATCAGAAACTGCAAATTCCATGGTATTCTTATCCAAGGTACTATCCTTTTCGCCTAAATCCATTTCAAGATTCATCTTTGCACACTCATTTGCAAATTCCTCATTGCCAAAATCACTAATTTCTCGAATTACAACTGCATTTCACCAAGAAAACCCTAAATTAATTGACCCTGTAGTGTCATCCAAAATACAGTCTTGCCACCTTGAATCAGTTATTCATGAGTTTCGGTCAAAACCCACTTCAGCAATTAGATTTTTTAAGTGGTCTGAGAATTTTCTTGGGCTTAATCACACACTTAAGTGTCATTCTATGCTCTGTCATTTATTGCTGAGTAAGCGTATGTTCGATGATGCTAGATGGGTTTTTGCTAAAATGGCTGAAAAGTTTGGGGAATTTGATTGTTTGGCTGTTTTCGATGAAGGGTTTAAGGTTTATGGTGCTGATAGAAGTACTGTTTATAGCTTCTTGGTTGATGGTTATTGCAGAATTGGGAGGATCAATCTGTCTGTTGAGTTGTTTTTTCGAATGTGTAAAATGGGGGTTTCAGTTTCACATTATGCATTGTTGAAAATGTTGAGCTCTTTGATTGATTTGAGGTGTTTGGATCTTATTCTAGATGTGTACAAAGAAATGGAAAACAGGTCCAAGGGAGAGCCAAAGAGGTGCTTTGATGTGTATGGCTTCGTGATGAATGGTTTTTTCAAGAATGAAGAGGCTAGCATTGGTTTAGAGTTTCACCGGAAAATGATTGAGAGAGGTTCTAAACCTGATATTGTATACTGTAACAAGGTTTTAAAGAGAATTTGTTGTGGTTATAGTTGTATTGAAGTTGCTAACAAGTTGCTTTTGTTATTACTAGATGTAGGTCCAAGACCCAATGTGGTGACGTTTAGCACATTAATTAATGGGTATTGTAAAGAGCAAAGATTGGAAGAGGCATTTAAGCTTTATGTTTTGATGATAGGGAGGGGTATAGAGCCTGACCTAATTGTGTATAGTATTTTGATCGATGGACTATTCAAGTTAGGGAAATTCGAGGAGGGACATCAGCTTCTCTCTACTGCATTGGGAAAAGGAGTAAAATTGGATGTGGTAATTTTTAGTTCCATTATTGATGCTTGTGTTCGAGATGGAGACGTAGAAAGGGGGGTTTTAGTGTTCAAAAAAATGTTAAAGGAAGGGATCTGCCCCACCCTGGTTACCTATGGCATACTTGTAAATGGCATGTGTCAAATTGGACGCTTGCTTGAGGCTTTTGGTGTTTTAGGTCAGATGCTAAAAAATGGTGTTGAGCCATCTCTTCTAGTTTATAGTAGTCTAATGGATGGCCTCTGCAAGGCTGGGAATTTGAAAGGTGGTATTAACTTGTATAGACATATATTAAGGAGCGGCTTTATTCCTGATGTCAGAGTTTATAGTGTGCTAGTAAATGGTCTTAGCAAACAAGGACTGTTGGATGATGCTACAAGATTATTCTACCAAGCAGTAAAGAGTGGTTTAACTCCCAACATATATTTGTTTAACACCTTACTTGATGGTTGGTGTAGACTGAATCAATTAAAGAAGGTGGCTAACCTATATAGCCAAATGGATTCTTATGGTGTAACCCCTGATATTGTGACTCATACGACGCTTAGCAAAAGTCTCTCTCAACAAGGAAAAGTGCATCTGATGTTACTCTTTCTTTTCAAGATGCTGAAAATGGGTTTCTCTCCAGATGTAGTGTCGTATTGTACTTTAATTGATGGACTTTGCAAGCATAACAATCTGACTGCTGGCTTACAGGTTTTCTCCCTGATGGTCAAAAATGGAGTAAATCCAGATATAGCGATCTACAATGTTCTCATTCATGCATTTTTCAATGAAGGCAGGTTGGGAAATGCACTGGAGCTCTTCAGGCAGGTTTCTCGTTGTGGGCCAGAACCAGACATTGTAACATATAACACTGTAATTTATGGGTACTGCTCAATGAAAATGTTGGATGAGGCCATTCAAGTTTTTGAAGAGCTGAAACTCAGACAAATTAGATTCAACTCAATTACCCTTACTATTCTAATTGATGCATTTTGTAAAGAAGGAAGATTGGATAATGCCATGTCATTATTCTCTGCCATGCTGGAAACAGGTCCTGCACCTAATGTGGTTACTTACAGTTCTTTGCTAGATGGCCTTTTTAAATCTTTTCGCATGGAAGATGCTTTCAAGTTGTATGGAAAAATGCTTGGGAGCAATGTCTCTCCAAATATTCTGAGTTATAGCATCCTAATCGATGGTCTTTGTAGAAGAGGACTTGTGCAAGAAGCATCCAAAACCTTTTCTTCTGCTCTTAGCAAGGGTTTATTGCCTGATATAGTAGCATATGGGATTTTGATTCGTGGATACTGCAAAGTTGGTAGGTTAGTGGAAGCCCTGTGCTTGTATAACCGCATGCTTGGTGATGGGATTGTGCCAGATAGTGTCATAAACATGACACTCAAAGAATTTCAGCTTGAAAATCTTCTCGGAAAAAGTACATGTACTCCACTTCAGGAGTTAAACAGGAGTTATTGTCTTGCTGGAAAGTTGTAAAAAGTCTATTTTTTTATCACTTATGATGGTAAATTGTAAATGTATGTTTATGTTGCTATGTATGATATGTACTGAATACCCATCACGTGTGCAGATTTTGTGGTTGTAGTATGGTACAGCATTACAGAAAAGTATACTTTCGGATACTTTTGGTTAATTCGCCACAGACATTGGCTACATCATATCTGATAAACACGATATCATTTACACCAATTAGTATGTTGCACTGTATACTTGCTTATGGCAATATGGCTGTAGCTAGATCAACTTTGACTCTCTTATTAGTTCCTAAATGGAGTTTCTTGTCCTATATATTGCCCTTAGGGTTGTCATTTGCATCGGGCCATGTTGGTGTATACCTTTTTTTTACCTGCATTTCTTTTTGAAAAAAGGACAAAACCTGCATTTTGTTTGGCTTTCCCTCATTCATTTTTGAATTCCTAAATATGGATTGTAACATTGTGGATTACAGATGAGGTAACTTCTAAATACAGTATCAATTTTTTGAATTTTCTTTATGGATAGTATATGCAGGTACATAGTTACGCTATTGGTATTCTTTTTACTCTGTAATTATTATTTGGTGCAATTTAGCAGGGGTGGATGCAGAACGACGTTTCTTTCACATCCTGGTACAATCAAATTAATATTGTCTGCATCAAATTTCTTCCTGAGATTTTGCGAGTCTGATTTCATGTCTCCATCCAGTTTCCTTATCAACTTCAGCAGTTCTCAAATAAAAATGATTTCTGAATAATGAGGAAGTACATTTAATCGCAGTGTAATCTGTGTTTCTGTTATATCTGACAATCAAGGAGAGCCTTTCATTGTTCTATCCTCTTGATTCTCAAATATTTGCTAGACCGAGATTGCTGGTCATCTGAGATAATGTAAATGGTGGGATGGACCTACACCTGTTTAACGTCTACAGGGGCTTACATTCACTCTCCTTTTTTGTGTGTGTGTGTGTGTGTGTGTGGGGGGGGGGGGGGGTTGGATGTGCAAGAGCAGACCTCTTATTAAACAATTACACCACAGAACACAAGAGAAGCATTACTTCTTGTGATTGGGCTGAGGAATCTTCTTTCTTCTTTTATATTTCTTCTTGTAGTAAGCAATAACCTTTTTGGTTTCTTTGATTTGGTAGGCAGTGCCTTTCAACTGATCAGTACATGATTTTGATTTGAACCTTTTCTATGGTTGAAATCTTTAAATATGCATTCTTCTCAATCCTATCTTCTTGATTCATCCTGCTGACAATTACAGCATTGGACTTTCTCAGTCATCTGGGAAAGAGTTAAACGAACACTTTTTGCCTCCTCTTTTTTTTTATTAGCAAGTGCTGGACTTTGCTACCTTGAAAATATTGAAAAATTGCAAGTGATATCAGATGTGTCTGACCGGATTTATTTGAATAAAAAATCCTATGAGTTTCTGTAGAAATTGCAGGCGGAAACTTAGTGGCCACTGAAATTTATCTGTGTATGAACTTAAAAGAAAATTTTTTAGAAGCCACCAGAGGTACTGGATAGAACTGCAATTATACATGAAAGCAGCAGAAGCCCCCTTCATATTTTTGCAGATAGGTGCTACTAATTGATTATGTCTGAGCTTTTCCTGTTGCTAGTAGGAATGTGAAGTTGTCTTCTCAATCACCATGCTTGAATTCAAGGCTACTCAGCACCTTTTCTGCTAATTTCAGTTGCCCTTCATTGAATTTTATAGGGAAGTTCAGAGCTGCAAGAAAGCAAGTTCATTGAATTTTATAGACTTATTTTCTCAATCCTCATATTTCTTCACTGAATCTCCTCTTTTTTCGATCCTAAGAAGATTATACAAGTTCAGCAAGTGTGAATTAGAATACTTGAAACTGATCAATCGTTGAAACTTTTTATTTCTTCTAAGAGTAGTAGCTACCCAGTCAACACGCCTGCTACAGAAATGTTAGAAGCTGTCATCATCCGAATACTAAAATCATTTCATCAAGAATTGTTGGTTTCTTTTACACAGACAAAGAAACAAATTATATTTTAAGTCAGATTAAGCTTCTTCCTTCAAATCTTGTGGTGAGTCCAATTCCAACTTGCATCATTGATGATGAAACTGTGTGTGGAAAGCAGGCATTTTAGGTTGTCGTGCTAGTGGAGCTTCTGCACTTTCAGTCGAGAGTTGAAAATTGTTCTACTATTTTTGGCCAATATACTTGAAAGTTAGCCGGCATCCCAATTCAGAAAGGCAGTCAGTAAATGTGAGGTGCAAAATCGGCAAAAATTTAATTGCTTTTTGCCCGTTGAGGATAATATTTAATCTAGAAACATATATTATTCTTAGTTTTTTTTTTACTCTAAAACTAATTTTTCTTGAGTATTGTATACCAAAGTTAAAAGGAATTTGACAACAGTATTTGGATTTTATAACAATACAGTGCCTGCTTTTTTTTTTTTTTTTTGGTGTGTGTGTGTGTGTAAACAAGTGTATCTTGAAGGCTCAATGCAGGGCCTGTTCTGATTTTTTACTTGATGCCTACTTGGTGAATATGAATGGAGTCAATAACACATTACTTATGTTGAAAGACTACAATGATTCCATTTATTTATACGTACATATACATATGTATATAGACACACATACATATATATAGTACGAGAGGCGTGGAATTTGAAAAACAAAAAAAATGAAAAGAGAATTCAATTTAAAACCTTTAATTCTTAAGATTTCAATCTTAATCGCTAGAACAGTACCTTCTCGAGCATCTACTCGATAGCTGAGGACACAAGTATTAGACTGAGACACTTGTATGAATATGTACTAAAAGAAACTTTCTTGGATAGGTAAGGGGGAGAAGGGTCAATTTCCAAGTAATCCCTTCTTGTTCTGAGTCCTCCTGAGATATAAATCCTAAGTTGAATCATTCTTACCCTATTCTTAGTACTCAATTCTACAAAACAAAATTACATGATACTAGCTTAACTGGACTAATTCAGTGCCATTCCCTAAACAATGAATGATACTACCCAAGGTGAATTTAGCAATAGTTAAACATACAGTCCAATTTCATAAAACCATGTTCATTTTGTCCAACAATCTGCTGTATGCTTCAATTGATATTTGACCTTTTGGATACATTATTGATATCTTGGACAACTTGAAATTTTGGCATTTGCAACTTAAATTTTCCTGTCCTAGTAGTAGTATCTTCTAGTTTAGCATCATTTAGTATCCTATTAAATGTATCATTATGTCTATCAGATCATAATTTTTCGTTATATACAAATTTCGGTATTTTCTAGGTAATATTCTGAAAACCATGAAGTAGGATTTTAACATAAATTATTATCCTATATGCGTATCGGTGTATTTTTTTTTATCAAATTATTATTTTTCGCGATATCGATAAGAAGACAGGTGTTACTTTAAGTGAAAAAGAGATAATCTAAAAAAAATGCAGAAAAATTTAAAGAAAAATATAGTTTCATCATGGCTCCTTTCTTTTCTTTTTCTTTTCCACATTGATATATTCTTTGTGGGATGATGTTAACATCTACTGCATGATCTTTGTGGTGGATTAGGTCCAATTTATCTCTAAATCATATTTGTATTCTTGCTTGTTTGTTCCTTTCTTTCTTTCTATCTTTCTAATTGGTGGAAAAGATAAACTCATACATCATTAGATCTTCTGCATGCTAAAATTTGGACAAAATGGTGGTTTTCTAACTCAAATTTGTATTTTCTATTCTAGTTTTCTTAGTGATTTAGAGATAAAACAAAGTTGGGCGGTTCTCATGCACAAACCAACATTATTGAGGTATAAGCGTTAAGCCACACCACTATTTCACGCTAAATTGGATTAATCTCCCTGTATTTGTTGGCTAGTTTCACTTCACCCAAAATAATCATATGACCAATTTAAGGCAGCTATCTTCTTAAATTCCATAGACAAGTTAGAAATGATGGTTTTTAGATATAGAGAATATTGCTAACTCATATTTCACTAGCACAATCAAGTGTCGCATGTTTTTTTCTTTTTCTTTTTGGCATGAATCGATCGGTTCTTTTTTTATTTTTTTTAATTTATTACATCCATCACTACTAACAAGCATAGAAGGAAAGTAAAAGTCAGAACCAATGACGTAATTTTGATTTATTTGTTGCTAAGGGGGTAATTTACGTAGCGTGAGTTCATTAAAAAGGAGAGAAAAGAAAAGAAGGAAGAAAAAGAAAGGAAAACAAAAATACAAAAAAGCAAAATATTGAGCTACGTAACATAATAAGTTTAATGATTTATTTGTCTATCACTAGGAATAACAACGGGGCGAGCGCCCGTCCCGCTAGGGGTCGTTGGGACGGGGGCGAGGGGGGACTTTTTCCCCCCTCCGTTTAGAAATGTCCCCCGTCCCATCCCTGCCCCGTCACCCGTTTGAAAAATTATATATATATGTACATAATTATATATATATATATATAATGATATTTTTAATTATAATACTAATTATACATGTCTATTAATAAAAATTATTAATTATTTATACTAAATTTATTAATAATACATTTATGTTAAATTCCTAACTACACTTAATACAACAACACTTTTTTCTAAAAAAAACACAATAATAATTTAGTGATTGTATTTGTATCAAAAGTGAAAACTTGATTATTTTAGTTATATTTGTTTTATCATATTATATTGTATTCAAATAACTTATGTTTAACTATTTTTATGAGTTTCAATTATGAAATTACAATGAATAATAATTTGATGATATATTAATATTTTAGTACTTGATTATTTGTTTAAATTTAATTATAATGAAATTATATAATAAATTTTTTTAGCACCTAGAGGGGAAGCAAGGGGCGGGACGGGGCGGGGGGAATTAAAATGCAACGGGACGAGGCTTGGGAGAGGTGTCCCCCGCCCCACCCCAAGCCCCATTGCCATCCCTACGACTATCACCTCCAAAAGGGGTCAAGTGCACATAAAAAAAAAAATTTAAAGGGGTAAAATCGAAACTGGACTATAAAAACAGTGCCGTTTACCGCAAAAGCTTTTCCTGTCACTAATCTTGTACTGGAGGAAGGTTGATTGCGTGATGTTACTGTCGATTGAAAACGCCATTCTAACGGCTTCCTTTTGTTTAAACCGAGCATGCAGAGGCAGAGCTGTCAGATGCATCTGAAATCTAGTGATTTTCTTCTATTCAATAATGTTTAAGTTCATAATTTGCAGATTTCTTGTTTTAATCCAATTTGATCCAAGCCCACATCAGCCACGAAGAAATAGTACGTGAAAAAAAAATTTCTGGGATTGTCAAGGAGGGTAAACTGAGATGGGACTAACAAATGAATTTTCTGAATGAATTATCGTTGAACAAATGTTTGAGTACTTGCTTTTGGATGTATATAACTTAACTTTGTGCCTAATAGACAATTCTTTAAAAAAAAAATGGACATGTAATAAGGAGAAATTTTGATATTTGTTTCTCAGGCTAATAGGGGTTGGAATTGAAATATGGAGAAAAAAAAGGTGGAGTTGAGATTTAACTTTTAGTGATTCATGAGAGGTTTTTTTTAGTGATTCGTGAGAGTTGATAAGGGAAAAAAACAACTATGGGAATTAGAAGTTTGAATTTTGGAAAGGAATAGCTCACAAAATGGTCAACTTAGTGTGAATGATGAACCTTAGATAAGGTGCTCTGAGCAGGGTAGAATGGATATTTGAAAGTGAAGTTTTCGCCGAGTTTAACAAGCAGAAGTGAAGATTGTTACAGCATTAAGGTATCCCTATTACTTTTAACACAAGGAGAAGACAAATATGTGTAAATGGAATCTTGATCAGAATGATGCCTAGTCATTTTATGATTTTATATCAGTGTACTGAGCCCATTATGTATTTGACGATTTTCCCACATATATTAGTCTGTCAATTTAACTGAAGAAGAGGAGCCAATTGAAAGTGACATAAATATAATTTAATGGTGATGATCTTTTCTTCTCAAGTCATAAGTATTAGTCTTGAAGTTTTTTATGTCAACTATGTTAGAGTAGTTAGGCTTTTAGCTCTTAGCTTCTTGCATTCCTTAGGCTTGGTAACAGGCCTCACTGTGACCTATAAAGTTGACTGCAAATTGAGACTTGTAAATGCTTTTGGTTCTTGCTTGTTAATTTATTTACATAATTGATTTCTCTTGCAATTGAGTTTGAATCATTCTCTCGGGATACCGTGTTCCAAAACTGAGTTTTAGTCAATTAGACAATTGAGCCTTGTGATTGTTGTTCACTGAAATAATAATAAAGGTGTTTCTCTGATCACTGATTGAAGTGGTGGAGTTATACAAATTTTTGATAGAGTTACTTCCCTAGAGAGGATTTTCTGCTTTGCTTTTTCTTCCACTTCTTTTGCATAGAAGCAGATTTAAGTTACTGATAGGGGAAAGAGGGAGACAGTGAAAGCTTGATAGATAGAAGAGACCAGGCCATAGTGATTAGGAGCTAAAGAATTTGGTTCATTCTCTAGATATATAAAGGAGTGAAGTAGGAAAATAGTTGATGGAGATGGAGGGAAGAGCATACTCAGAGTTATACAGAAACACAAGTGAAGAACTGTTTATTAAAACCATGATGGAGAGCTCAATAGGGATGCCAATTCCAACCATGGAGATGTTGGGCTTTAAGAATCTATCTCAGAACTTCAGAGCAGATAGCGAGGAACTCTTTAAGAGTTGGCTCACAAATGGAGAGGCAAGAATTACATAATCTTCTTTGCAAATTTTGCATATCATATCGTGATAGAGCTCTGAAATATGTTAGGGTTTCAATTTTGATTTAGAGTTTTTGGGTATTTATATGAATGAAGATACAGATATATTGGTTTAATGTTGTTTGCTCCAATCTCGTCCTCAAGTCTCCTTTATTCCCTACTTTTAGTCTCTGAACATTTTGGTCTCTCATTGTTTTATATGCGACTATGAGTAGAGTGTCCGCATATGCAAAAGGCATGGAGAGGCATCAAGTGTTTGGATGATGATTTCTAGTCTTAATCCAACTTTAGTACTAGCATCAAAACAGTTTGGTCAAGTTGGCTAGAGGTATGGTACTTCAATGGTATGTTTGACTTATAGTAGTTCTAAAGGAAAAAGAGGAAAGGCCTCGAGCCTCAAACTAAAATTGCCGACTTGTACTAGCTGTGCGATTCAGCCGTAACATTTGAATTGACAATGGATACGAATACCTGGCATGTAGGGTTTGTATGGGAAAGATAAGTACAATGATAAGCAACAGAAGCTATTTAATTTAAAACCATGAGACTACTTGACAAATTTTTTCAATCACAGTATGTTGATGCAGCTCTTTATTACGTTTGATCATTAAATAAATTTTATAACTGTAACCAACAGAGGAACATGTAGAAACTGAAATTTCAGCTTATGTTTGACAAGCATGTGTTTGAAATATACATTTATTCTTTGATTCCCTATTCTACTTACCAAGAAAATGGCTGTAATTGATGACTCTGCTTCACTTAAGTCTCTTGAGAAAGATTCAGATGTTTCCCCCTAAGGCACCAAAATTTGTGTTTATCCTATTTGCTTCAAGGTGTTGCATGTTATTTTGACCTTTTGCAGGTTACGTGAGTTTCTATCCTAATTGATATTCATTTTCTTGCAGAACAATGGCTGCAGTCCTGCTGGCATTGCACATCGTACCCGGCAAGCATCAAGGAGGTTAGTCTAACGAATTGTTAGAACTCATACAAGAAGATTGACAGAAATACTTCTCTTATTATGGTGTTGTAGTGGAGTCTGATTCTGCTTTTCCAGTTCTAGCTGATTTGTATAATTGAAGGATAGATAGTAGGATCCATTTAAATGAACATCTAAAACTGCATAACTTGTTTCATGAATCACAGCAATGACTTTTCGTGTTTGAAACAGGGAAAAGTTAGAAGATAAACAACTAGCTGTTTGTCTTTCTACTTTGGAAACATGTCATCACCTTGGAATTGGATATTCATGTTTTTAGTAAGTGAGCATCTGTACAGTCATCTAAAGATCCACAGAATTAATCGATGTAGTATACTCTTTTACACCAATTATGTGACATTTAAAATGCTGGAACTTGAGCATTTGTTGGAAATTTTAGGCTTTTCTGGATAAATGGGCTTTATTGCTGGGACTGTCACTTGCATGTCTTATATCCTGCTAGCAGAATACCAATGCAGTTGCTTTTTCATAAAATGATAGGAACATCGATTAAGTATCCTGAGAGTTGTACACTTGCTTTCATCTTCCCTTGTATAATTTTAATTACATGGATAGAAAATGTTTATGCAATAATTCAGGATCTCTGCTGAAGCATCCAATTTGTCAAGCCAACAACATGGAGGAGTGTTTCCGAAAAAAAGAAGTGATGAGATCTTGTTCCCACAGAATACTTTCAATGCAGGCGAAAATTTGAATGAACTCAACCAACATCCAGTCAGGTACCGTAGTCATTTGTACTGTTATATCTTTGATTCATCTGACAGCATCTTTAACTTCATTTTTTCCTTTGGCATGCATATTGCTTAAAAAAGTGTGATCTCTTTGACTTTTCCTGCTTGTAGTTTTAAATCCTGGAAAGAATTGAATGTTATTGCATTGCTGTCAGTTTCATTAGCATACATCTAGTTTCAAATAAAAAATTTTTAATGCTCTCTTCATCAATCCAATACGAGATGGCATCCTTCTTGGTTAACATTCACAATTTCCACTGGTTAATGAAGTGTTTAATCATTTAACCTTCTGTTCCAAAATGATTATTCAGATATTTGCCTTCTTATTTTGTCAAATCTCCTCTGCTGGTACAGTAGTCCAGGGTCTGATTTCTGCATAAACTTTTTTCAGGAATGCAGTTGAAAAAGAAGTGCAAGCGAGCAATTTGTTTCTAGCTAAGGTTTGAGTCTATGAATGAACTGCAGAAGCACAAAATCCAATTATAATTTCTGAAACAATCTTATGCGTTACACATCGCATGCAGGCTTGGTTTCATAGTTGCCAACCTATGACGAGAAGTCGTTCCTCAGAATTGAGGTAACATGTTTATGCTTCATCATTAGTTCAAGTACATTCTGTTTAGTTTTCTGAGGGGATGAGGTACCACAGCCTAGTTGGGAAGCCGCACTATAACTGGTATCAATCCCCACTCTAACCAGATTCATAGTTAACAATTTCCAAGCAAACAGGAGAACTAGATGGCTGTTGCTTCTGGTGCTTTACTGTAAATTGCCACGTCTTAACTCATTACAGGACATTGGGAGTCAATAAGTTTAAGGTTGTGTTCCTGCAAGTTATTAAACAAGCATGCATGGATGACTTGTATTATTTCTGCCGAGATTGTTGTTTTCTAGAGTTATGAACTAATTATGTTCAAGATAGTGTTCCTAGAATTATATTTTAGATCATATTGAGTAAAACTTGTTGTTTTCTCTTTTGGAGTAGGAAGAGGTATGCTGCCCTGCAAACTTCACAGCCATCTGTTGCTATGGAGACCATGTCTAATATATCAGAGAATGGCATTAACAACTTCAAACAAGAATATACAAATCCAAATGGATTCAACAATGTGTCAATGGGTGAGATGCCGAATCAAGTGAATACATTTATGTCTCCATCCAACTCATCTTCCTCTAATTTCAACACTCCACAAGGGGGGAATGTAGACAACATTTCTTCTGTTGTGACCATGCTCAAGGGTACACTGGAGCGTAAGAAACTTGGTAACTCGGTTGAGAAAGAAGCTGTTGATGACAGTTCTTTTGGATGTTATGGTTCTGAAGAAGTCTTTGGTAACACAGTCCTGAATCAAGAAAGAAATCAGGCATATGAGATGCAAGGAACTTTTCATGACTTATCTGCAGTTCAAATTACAGAGGCTGGAATTATGCAAACAGTTGAAGGGTCATTTGGTTTTGGCCTCGAAGGCATGATTCCTCACACAAATGTTATTCAGATGAGTATAGTATCTCGAGAACCTTCCCAAAGTGAATCCTCTGCTGCTGCACCTGTAGTTTCAACTGGTTTTGAAGTATGTGATGGACCTAGTACCTCAGGTCAAGCTCCTACTGTCTGTGAGAGCTCTAGGAAGCATGTGGATTATGCAAGGAGTTCAGAATATGGTTCTAGAATTAAAGGTATGACAGAACTATTTCCAACTAAAGTCACAGTTTAATTGGCATGATTCAGTTAAGCAACTAAATGTGAAGCTCTTGAATGGTTTATCATTTGTCAGCAATGTAAAAGTGACTCTGCATTTCTTGTTATGATGAGCTTATGCAAAGATTTTCGTCAGATGCTGTTCTTATAGTTTTGTTATTGAGTGTTCCATTTCACTAAGATTAGATTTTAATTTCATCATGACAAAACTCATAATTTCCCTAAAGCTAAGAAAAAAATGATTAATGTATTCATTGTGCTCTTGGTTGACAGATGTCAGAGAGCGTATGTACAATAACTTGAAAGATGATAAAAAGGTATTTTAAAACTATGTAATTCAGTGAACTTTCAAAAGTAAACTAGGTAAGGTATAACTTTCTAATCAAATACTGTAATTTGTGTGTGCATTATTACCAGAAAGAAGGCTTAGTTCGATATGGATCTGTAACATCAGCTGGTTCAGGTAATTGAGCTTATCTTGTACTTATGAAGCATCCTTGGCATTTAGGTGCCTTGTTAAGTTGTCTATGATCACTTAGGAAAAGAGAAAGGCATTTTATCATATGCATGTTGCTGAGGTGAGGGTTATAATGGCCATTGGAAGGTAGTGGTCAGCTGGTTTTTTCAGCAGAACACAATAGAACCTTATTCATATTTTCTCCAAATAAGCATCAATCTAAATTCCAGCTCATTTAATTGGCAATAGATTAAAGTGCATGAATCAGTGATAAAGGGCATTAAAGCATAATTCTTTAGAGCCAGTTTTTGATTGTGCTTTGGTTCACTGCATAGATGCTCTCATGTACCCAATTCAGGTCCATGCTAGTGAATTTAAGAGGCATATGGTAGGGTAGAGGGACTCTTGCCAACACATCCTATAATGGGATAGTATGTCAAAAGGCAGAGACTGTATGGTGGCAATGGTGTTTCAGTGCTTGAATACTTGCAAGACCCTCCTAATTTTTGACAGCCATATGATTAAGAAAGCTCGGTGCTTATAATAGGATTATACCATTGTTCTTTTAAGTAGAAGAGAAGTCTTGCTGTGCTGGATATGCCAAAGCTTGAAATGAAACAGAAACAAGTGCATTTCGTGTTTTCTTTTCCCTGCTCGTCCTCCTTTGATCAGTCTTTTTGTGATCTTGGTTTTCTATTTGGAGGTTAAGGATTATCGGTGGAAATTTTGTTGCAGTCTGCTGTTGTGAGAAAGGTGTGCCTAGATGTTCTACTGATGTTCCTCAGCTTCGTCCTTCCTTGTATAAATGCCTTTCAGAATAATGATGTAATAATGAAGTGATCTTGCAAATTAAGCTAAGGAAGTGATACGAACTTGGGAAATATTCAGTTCAACTAGTAGGATGCGATGTGCTTCCTGTTGTTAATTGACTCTTTTCATCTTTGCTTTTCCTTTTTTTTCTATGGTTTTTGACTTCTATGGGTGGGCCTGACTATGATTGGCCAAAAAGGATCTTCATTCAAACTCCATTGTTTGATGTTGCTACAAGTTCTAACTTCTGTACAAACACTAGCTCTTTTCAATGAAAAATGATTGAATGTCTAATTGTGTGCTGTAAAAAGTGTGCAATGATTTCAGCACTTCTGATCAGAATGTGTTTTACAGTTGAACAAGGAGATCCCACTAAGAAGCGCAGGGTGGAGAGGTCTCGAAAGTATGTATCTGCCTTTGATGTTCTCCAGCATGTTCTTATCTTCTGTCAAGGCAGTTTAATAGATAGATAAACTTCTTTCTAAGAAATCTCCTATGCGTGATGTAGAATGGCAGAAGCGAAGGAAAGAAATTTGACACCTGCAGTTCCTTCTGATATGCTATCCATTTTGAAGAGATGTGAAAACCTTGAGAAGGAAGTGCGCTCACTGAAACTCAACTTGTCTTTCATGAACAGGTAATTGTTATCTCCTTGTCCTTGATATGTTAAACTAGACTTGCCGGAGCTACTTTGCAGGTTGTTTACTGATTATAAAGAAACTTTCCACTATTCTTGACTATATCACCCTACGTGCTTACCCTTTTATTATTATTATTATTATTATCATCCTTTTTTTTGGGGACATAGGGATATGGAAGTAGATTAAACCCCAGCCTCAACTTTGCTAGAGGCAGAATCTTCTTGTCTGCCTTTGAAAACTCACAATTTGTGCACATCATTTATCTAACGTCACATATAATATCAACAAGAATGAGGATTATTGGTTGCAAAAAATGAAGCACAGCATGAGCAAAATATTGTTCGACTGGAAGTCTTCTCTTTACCTTTTTGGTGTATGTTTGCTAGAGCAAACAGGTGTTCTCATAACAGTTCTGCATCTAACAGTCCGCTGATCCCTAATAGGCCTCAGCTAAATATATCTTCTGTCAGCAAGGCTGCTCTCGTGCGTAGTACCACTTTGGACTATCTGGTGTCTGATGTATTTCAAGCAGTCTATCGCACAAACCACAAGTTTGCTGCAGCTCTAGGATTATAGGATTGTTTTAGAACAGCATGTACAGCAGTCTATCAGTTCTAAATACAATCTGCTCAAACTTGTGCTTAGTTGTGTTGTTTCCATTTCATTTGCTCTTGTGGTCCTGATATCAGATCAACTTATCTTTTTGAGATAGTCCAGAAACCAAAATCTCAAGATTTAACAAAGTAATCTGGTAATTTTCAGGAAGGACTCTGAGCAAACCAAGCAGATAGAAGAGCTTCAGAAGCAGAATGAGGATTTGGCAAAAGAAAAAGAGCGGCTTCTTGAAGAAATTGAGCGTATCATTTCTGAAACAGCCAAGATGTAACACTTTCTTTAGTCTCGTGCCCCCCAATCAACCTTAAACATTGTTGAAGATTTATCTTCATCTTGAACCCTTTTTGAGCAAATGCACCTTATCAATATTTACTAGGAAAAGCATTCTCCAGATTTGTTATACTCAGGCCTTGTGTCATGGAACATGCCATCATAACTAGCTAGTCCCAAATGGCAGTTTTTTGTTAAGTTCACTTAGCTCAGTGTACATAGAAATTTTGGATAGTTTCTATATCAAAGAGCTAAGATGCATTGTAAACTGTTACCTGCTCAAGGGACACTTATGAGCCTGTTCTCTAGAATGCAATTTGTCTTCCTTTCAAGTCAGAAGATTGAAAAGACAAAACGAGTTGAAACTTGTAGACTTTTCTTGTTCGTAGTTGAATTGTTCTAGTAGGGCAAAAGAAAGATAGACAGAAAAGATAAATCTTTTGTGGTATTATAATTCTTGGTACTACTTGATTACTCTAATACTTTCTCCTCTTTGAAACATGGTCAAAATATTGTAGGACTGATAATTAAAACTTTAGGAGCAAATAACGTCATATTGTTTTAAAGTTGCCATATAACTGAGATTTCGTGTCATTATTTGTTATTGTAGTCTTACCTTCAAATAAGTAAGAAATTTATACATATAACCACCGCAAACAAACTAATAATACTTGTTCAATTTTAACAACATTCTATAACTTCTTTTATTTTAACTTTCAATAACTTCCACTTTTTTTTGTGCAAATCAAATTTCTAATAACTTCTACCTTTGATGTTACAAAAAAAATAAAATCTTACCCTTTTATTGTGGAAAAAAAAAAGTTGCACATCCACAAGGTATACATCTCCCAGTAGTTTACTTGATTAGATTGAATTGTATAACGATCTAATTCTTAAAAAAAATGAAAAAAAATGAAAAAAATGAAAAATTCATTCACCACTTAAACTTAATGGATTCAGATTTTAATATGTTTAGATGTGTTTGATAATTAAAAATTTGACATATTAATTAATTAAATGACACTGAATTTTCTAGGTAAAATTTGTTTCCAAAAGTAAGTGATAATCTATTCACTTAGTACATTTTGATAATTCAACTTAATAATTCAATAATTTAATGGATTTATATTTCAGATTTCAAACTTCAGTTTTCAAACTTCAATTTTATTAAATGCACCAACAACATTGAAAAAGGATAAGATACTGCTTACATAAACAAAATTTCTATGTGTAGCTTGAAAATTGCGATAAAAAAAAAATACATTTCAACACTTTCCAAGAAAAGAAAAATGTTTCTACCCAAAAAAAAGGGTCTAAACTGCAGAGGAGTAGATGGTAATTTCACAAAGAAACTCCCAGCCACCTTTCTCAGTTCCCGCCCTTAAAATTCATTTTCCTTTTAAAATCTCTGCTGCAAAATCCATTCGTTTCTCAGTTGCAAATTTTACTATTCCGGAAGGTTCTGTTTTCTTCTCCGTTTTCTGTACAGATTTAAACTGAATCCAGATTCGAACAATCGAACTTCGAAATTTCTGCTGCAGCTCTATCTTTGAAGGTACGTTGATTCTCCATTTTCGAATTTCGGTAGCGTAGTCGTTGTTTCTGCATGTATGAGCAGACAGGGCTAATTTGCTTCGATTAATCCGACCTCATTTCATTGATTAATTAGACTTTTCTTCGTTAATTATAAACTGATAGCAATCTGCCTCCCTTTTTCCCCAATAAATTTAGTTTTTTTTTTGTTTTGATGAATTTTATACATTCTCGCTTGTCAATATTATTGAGAATCGCTGAAATTTGATAAAGAATTTGACGTAGTAATGCCTGATCCGCTATATTTTGATACTAGAGTATCGATGTTGTGATCGCGAGCGAAATTTTCTGAAAATTTTTTTCTGGCCATGTGTTTGCTTTATATGTTTGTTCCATTCCTTTTCTGTTCAGTTTTCCTGGTTGATATTCATCTTCTACTACATTACGAGAAAAAAACTGGTAAGATTGGAAAATAGCGGAGGAATTTATTTCTGCCTGATTTGATCGAGTGATCGTGATATAAGGATTGGTTCTCAGTGGTTAATAAATTTCTGCAGTATTTGCAACTACAAGGTGAAATGGAAACTGGAGAGTACAGTGAGACGGTGAAGCGCATGAAACCTTCAGTATGATTCTGTACCTTTGGCATTCTGATCTGTAAAATGCTGATAACGTTATAGTTAAACGATAACTTTGTTTCTGTAACTAAATCAAACAGATGGATAGCGTGGCTGCGGATGATAGTAATGCAATTGTGAGGGCTTCAGGGGAAGACACTGAGGGTGAGGGCAACACCATTGTTGGCTCTGAGCAAATGCTGGTGGAGAATGCTCACATTCATGAGAAGATTAATCGCTTTACTCAGCTGGTAGCTTTGCTCTACCCTGTCTTTTCGTGAAAAAAAAAAATCAGTTGAGGAGTAAAGTAAAATGCGGGGAGTCCAAAATTCAAAAGAGCCAGAAAAATATATAAAGGAAAACAGTCCTATTCGCTTAGGCATGATGTAATTCTAGAAGTGAAAGTTTGAAAGATAAACCTTCCTTGATTGCAAGTGATTATGCTGGCCTTGGTTTCAGTTTGTTTGAATATAAATTCTGTGCTGAATTTCATTTTTACTTGATGAAGGTGTCTGAGCTGCTGGAATCAGGGAAGTCAATGCTGGAGGATCTTAGTAAAGAATTTGAAGAAAGATTATTTCAGTGAGTCATTTAAAAAATAGGTATTAGGCTTTCAAGATCAGGTTGTAGCAAAATTTTTTTTCTTGAAGCATGTTTGTCTACAGAATCCACAAGGAACAGATGGCTAAGTGGGAGGAGGAGATTCAGGAACTACAGTTGCTTGATGCCTCAAATGAGGAGACTAATGCTGTTTTGCACAATGCTAGGTGTCTACTTCAGAATGTTCCCGGTCAATCTTAAAGGTAAATTCTGGCGTCATTTTATCCACAGATAGGAACACATTAATTGGATTAAATTAATAGCTTGTTGCTAACATTAGCATCTTTTGAGCTGCAAAATTACAATTAAGAACTTAAAACTGTTTGAGGTCTTTGGCTGCAACATAATAGTTTTGGTATCAACATACAGAAGAATGTTAATTTGGGACTGTTTCTTCTTGTCATTTTCCTCTTTCTACCAGGTGCAGTTAGTATCAAAATTGAATGGCGTATTCTGACTTGTGGAACTGATGAATCTACAGAGAATGAAAGTTCTGCAAATTTGTTTTGTTGTTTTCTGATACTTGTGAATAACTCTTATCTTCTGTTTTGGGGTTTTAATCTAGAAGCGAAGAATGTTTCAAATAGGTTTTTAGACAGCAGAATCTAGATACATCATGAGGCTTGGTGTTTGATTTTATTAATGCACGTGGTGACACTGATCATGTCCCACTTTTGCTTCAGTCATTTTCTAAGGCACATTAAACATCTACTCTGAAGTTCTAAAATTTTTTCACGTGCCAATTCAGAACATTTGAACTTGATGCTTCTTGTCACTGAAAAGATACAGTGCTTTTGAGGTTAAATTTAGTTATTGAACATTTACTTCTGCACATGAGTTCATTTTTTGCGTATCTTTTAGCTGGAAAGTGACGAAAGTTCAACCCGTATGCTGCAGCTAGGTGGCATAAACAGGTACCCTTAGTATCAGTTTCATTTCATTTTTGATCATTAGGATGCTGGTCTCATCATTCTATGCCAGGTTGTCTGGGGACATTGGATCTACATTTCCAGGGTTTGGCTATAGAGACATGAGGATCTGCGTACTGATAGTGTCGAACTTTGAATGGGTTACCAAGGAAAAAAGCAATAAACCAGTGTAAATGCAGATAGAAGTACTTTTAGGCAGTACTAGCATACGCATCAAGTTAGAAAGACATAACCATTGAGAACATCTTTTGGTCGGCCTTGGCACCGTTGAAATCAAGTTGATAGAGTTGACAGCTTGCTGCCTTTCCTCCAGTTTCACTTTTTACTCTGAATTCCAGTAAATAAAGATCATGAATTTTGTATCTAATAGGTCCAATAGGTTAGTCGCATTCTTCACTTCTGGTGTTTTGGTCGCTTGCAATTACTGATCAAGCGCTCCAGATAATGGTATTGAAAGATTCGAAGGCAGCATTATCGTTGCATTTATCTCCTTATTGATGATTATTGAATTGATGCTTAAACTGTATGCTAATTCTTGACCATGTAGAAGAGGAGATTGCTGTCCTCTGCTTAGACTCACTTGGTTTGACGCTGGGATATGTGAGGCAGTAAAGTAGAGCACAGATGAGTATAATATTTGGATGACGGCAGGGAAAGATTAATCTTCAAATGGTTGGACAAAGCTTCCTGTCTAGCCCTGATATGAGAATAATACATGTTAATGCTGTTTGAACTGTGTTTCTCTTAATGCATGATTACAAAGAATTGTTTAAATAATCACATGATCACATTCAACTTTTAAAACACGGAAGTGTTAGCAGTTTTAAGATTAATTTGCATCCTTAGTTGTAATCACGCAGTGAAGTGCAATAGAATGCAGAAAGAACTGCAATTTTATACGTTAAATATACGAGGGCATGCGCCAAAACATTTTCTGTGGGAGGGCAGTCAAGTTCTCCTCCCCAGAAAAAAAGTTTGCCCTTAATCTGTAGGCATCGAGTGGCACCCTCAAAAGACACCAGTACTAGACTTGAGTTAACGTTTTACTACCGCGTTGGATAAGTCCACATTTGAATAACTACAAATGATCTTAGTAACTTTCCGAAATATGCCTTCAAATTCCACAAAACATGTGGTAAAATGTTCTCATGATCACATTTTTCTTTCAGAAGCTATATATGCTCGCTTAGTTGACTTTTTTTTTTCGCTCGCTTAGTTGACTTTGTACATGCTCGCTTAGTTGACCAACTTCTGAATTTTGATAGAAAGCGAAGTTGTCTACCCATCATATCATCATCAAGTGGCATTGGACTAGGTAAGTATGGTAGCCTAATATTTTTGGTAATGGAGTAAAGAGATGTATGAGGATAAACATACCCTCAATGATTTTGGGCAAGAACTTTTTAAGAATTTTGTGAGGAATGAAGGTTTTAGGAAACGGTAGAATGAATTTTATGAGGGAAATGACTTTCCAACTCAAAACATCTACACCAAACACGAGAATAGAATGTATAAGTTATCAAACATGATAATAGAATATATAAAAGTTATTCAATATGATAATAGAATGTATAAATTGAAAAGACATTTCAATTCCAGGGGATTCATGCATAGGAAACTAATAATCTTATGTTTCATCTTAATTGTTACTGTTCTTTTTTTTTTTTAATGAATTCTAGGAATTACAATACTTGTAGAACTCTTTACTATATCGTAATTCTTTGGCCTGAATTATGAAAGAAGTGCTATGTGATCATATTCTTGTTTTCGTGTTTCCCAGACCAATTTTTTTTTTTTACTTTTTTTGGTCTTAAATTCCTTTATGTAGATATCAATTTCAAAAATATAAATTGTTTTATGTGTTTAAACCAAACTCTGACCAAGCCAAGCCAAGTCGACTAATTTCTTAGATTATAGGTAAAAAAAAACAATCCATCAAATGCACCTCTGACAAGAGATATTTCTCAATTTATACCGGCCGTGCAGATAAGAGGTATTTCTCAATTTATACCGGCCTTGCTGACTCAGCACGGTCGCATGAAAAGAACTTTTTTTTAAACAGGGTCAGAACGGACGTGACCTTTGTGATTGCCTGTCAGAAGCCGTGCCCAGTCAGCACGGCTTCCGCCAGGCGCCTGCAGTTGCCTCTGATGAGGCTGTCGCCTCTCTTTTTAGCGGTGAAAATCCCCATGCTTGTGCAATTATGTCATACTGCGGCTCCTTCAAGCTGCTTCTCTTCTTTTTCTGTTTCTTTTTTCCACCCCTGCTTGTCTTTCAAATCCTTTGCTCTTAAAATTGAATAGTCCATTTGAATTAGCTGTTTTTTGGGTTATTTTTCAAAAACAGTATTGTAGCATTTCGTTTTTGAAATATAAATCCGTTTGAAATAGTTGTTTTTTAGGTTATTTTTCAAAAACTATATGAAAAACTTTTACTGTAGATGTTTTTTAGATTATTTTTAGAGGTATTTTTAAAACATATTTTTGAGTATTTTTAAAACTTTTACGGTAGATGTTTTTTAGAGTATTTTTAGAGGTGTATTTGGCGGATATTTTCTTTTTTTACCAATAATCTAAGAAATTAGCCGACCAACTCCTTGTTAGTCTTTCACTCATCTGGGGCGACCTTGTAGTATCTCTTATCTCTTAAAACATGTGGATTCAAGGTCTAAAAAGTTAGACAGCTATGATAAATATCACGTAAATCTAATTCCAATTTCTTTATAAAACAAGGATTAGAGCCACAAAATGCACAATAAAATAAGGGAAACCTTTTGAGTATCATACTCAGAAGTGAATTTCACCGTTTGGATGGTGAAAAAAGTGTTATTGATCCTTAAATTAAACATTATTAAATATTTAAAATTTAAATTATTATCTTTAGTGAGAAATACAAGTAGAGGAATGGTACCCAAAAGGGACCATAGAATTTTCCTAAAATAATATAACCTTAAAACAAAGTTACAAAAGTATTGAAATAAATTTGCAATAATTTAACAATCAAGTCTAATACTACTCGCCAAAAGTTATCAAACATGAAACGAGTTTGATGATTTGCCCAGGATTTGGTGGCGGGGTTTAAAAAAATTCTGGAGTTAAAATGACACTTAGAATTTCTTACGAGTTTGTTCTTGTTTTAAAAGAAAGGACATGTAACATTCACGAGACTATAGTAGCTAGAATTAATACACTTAGTTTATGAGCAATATAAAAAAGACATTCGAATTTACTCACAAAACTTTGATTTCACTTGAAAGAGCACACAAAACCATTTACAAATTATTCACAACGGATCCTGCTTCACATGGTGTATTCATACATGAAGTTGACGCTTTCACTTCCTCAAAAGCATGAAAACAAAAGGGCAAAGAAAAATAGCCAACAAGGAAATAAACATGCAAGTGCCTTATACTCAAGATTCCCACCTAAAATTGGATTAACAAATAAAGGAAAAGATAGATATACAGCCATATTCCAACAGATATCAAGATAGTTAGGGCACTGAGGCTGTTGAATATTTATCCTCATCACTGTCCAAGGATGGCAGGTCTAAACTGACTGAAATGCTGGAAATTCTTGTGGATAATGACTAGGAAAACTGCAAGATTGTATTTGCTGGAATCGGCTAACTTCAAATGATTGTAAAGTTATAAAGACAATATAAGAGTTTGTAAGCTTGATGACTGTACATATGAGCTTACAGCACACTGACTAGATAGATTCTATAATATATAGACTTTGATGAACTTTGGGCAAACAAGAAAACTATCCAATCATACTGACTAGAAAGATTCTATAATATGTAGATCATTTGCCAAAACCTATATTGGTACACTGCTGTTACATAATTATGCTTCATTCTGCAATGTGAAAATTGACAGAATTCAGGAGGCTGGGGTGGTAAGTAACCTCAATCAAGAAGTGCTACCAGGTAGCAAACATCCCAGACATCTGAGGGAGGCCTATTCTTCGTAAATACATTAAGGCCAAGAAACCCATAAAGGAGAAATATGCTATGAAGAAGCAAGCTCGCTTGATATAGACAGCCCATGAAGATAGATGTGTCCTTTCTGCAGAGTAACGGTGCAAGGAAGACTTTAATTGGTGGAGAACTCTAGCCAAGCCAACAGTTACCAAGGAGGTACAGAACCCAGTCATAACTCCAGCCACAACATCCAATCTCCAGTGCTTAAGTCCTCTGCTGCTTGTAATCCAGGACTTCAGTATCCTCATAGACCTGCCAGAACAAAACGAAATTCAAACACAGTAAGAGACGTATGCATAAAGGAAAACCATATATTGCAGCAAAGCACAGTTAAAAAGAACCTGAAGTACAAATTATAAGGAAGGAAGTGACTTTCTAAGAGACTAGGAAGAATATTGCCTGGTCTTGCTACCATGAACAAGAGACTTTAGACAAAGATGGATCTCTACCTATATATGATATAATGTTGTCTGACACATGGACTGGAAACAAGATTTTTTAACGCCAAATTCATTCTTATTGACATTATTAAAATTTCCAAAATTTGATACAAAAGAAATTCACATGAAATGCTGAATAAAGCAGGCACAGAAACGAAGAAGCTGATTAAAAATTGATAACAGGGTTGCATATAGAAATCTATGTAGATAATTCAACAGTTAGCATAAAATCAACATAACGGGATGCCAACAGTAATTAGTAAAGCATTGATCCTTACACCTAAAAGAAGTCTCTCAATAAGAGGTAAACACAAAGCAAACTGTCATGATTTAGTTGAAGAAACTGATGCCCAATGCAAAACTAAAAGAGGATCAGAACATGCAATATTAACTTCTGAGATTACAAAAAGGTAGGGTGTGTGAGAGATTGAATTGGAACAATGGAATTTATCCAGTCTGACAACAAATTGCAATGATTATCATACAGAAAACAGAAACGGCGGATGAAGCATATCTTTGGTCAATGTACTCTTAAGTTAACCAGTAGACTGCAAAGATTTAAAAGCATTTCTTTCCAGGTGGAATAAGGAGTAATCACCGTCTAGATTTTGCTAATCTTCTTTCAATAGACTAGATGTATATAAGAAGCAGATTAAAGAAGAATAGACAAGAAACCATTTTAAAGGTGTATACTCACAGGATAGAGTATCGTCTAAGCATCTCAAAACTGGATGGATCATTTGCCTGGCAATTGAAAAGACCATCCTGACGTATGTCAACCTTGGAAATCCCCAATGTGTACCAGCAATCATAAGTTTCATTCACCTAAAACAGAAGGTAATGATGTTATGGAGAGAAATGCACAATTAAAATTGAAACGACAAAGTAAATTAATCCAATGGAGATTAGTCGAAGGTTGTAAATTTCCACACTGAAAGCTTCAAATTCAACCGCTACCTTAAATTTATCTTTGGTTAACCATGCAGCTCCAAAAGTCGGTCTACAATTGGATGGAAGGGCTTCATT